AGATGCTCCCTACCCTATGCAAATTGTAAATAACAAGAGAAATAAACTATTATTATTATTATTATTATTATTATTATTATTCCTTTATACATATTTAGACTCTGGCTTTGATTTTGGATTTTGTTTATTTAGAAACGTGAATTGGTTTTCGTTGTTTTAGGTTGTTTAACAATATTTCAAAGGAATATTAATAGATAGTGTATATTGACTACTGCTTTCGATTTCGGATTTCGGCGATTTGTTTTGTGATTTGCTTTAAGTTGATTCGATTTTTTTTTTGGCTATCGTTTTCGGATTCGTGTTGTGTCTTGAATTGTTTTTTTTTTTGTTTTGATTTTAAAAAATATTTAAAAGGAATATTTATTCCTTTTACATATTTTGGATTTGCTTTTAAAAAATATTTAAAAGGAAATTTATTTCCTTTTAGGTATTTTAACGTTTTTTATAAATAGGTTTTTTGTTACTTCATAATGCCTCGCAAACGTAAGTCCAGCCTTTCAAGAGTATCTTCTCAAAGACAAGCGAAAAGATTAGCTCGATCGCTAGAATCTTTAGAAGATGCTGAATGATAAGCAGAGCGTCAGGCTGCTTTTAGAGCATCTGAGACACCTTCTCAACGTCAACAAAGGCGTCTTGAACAGACAGAGCGTCAGGCTGCTTTAAGAGCTTACGAAACACCTTATCAAAGCCAGGAAAGGCGTCATGAACAGGCAGAGCGTCAAGCTACTTTAAGAGCTTCTGAAACTCCTTCTCAAAGTCAGCAAAGGCGTCTTGAACAGGCAGAGTGTCAATCTACTTTAAGAGCTACTGAACCACCTGCTCAAAGTCAGCAAAGGCTATTCGAACAAGCGGAACGTCAGGGCGCCTTAAGAGCCGCGGAAACACCTGATGAAACTCAACACAGACTCATTGAGCAAGCTGAACATCAATCTACTATAAGGGCATCTGAAACACCAGAACAGACACAGGCGCTAAGAGATGCAAATGCACAGCTCCAAGCTGAACGTCGACAAAATTTTCAAAGAAACAATTGGTCGGTTTTAAATGACGCAGCATTCAATTATGATCCGTTGATTGATTATAAAAATCACAATTTAGTTGTTATCAGACTGATGGACAAGGCGTGTCGATTTTGCAGCGCTTTAAAATGGAAAGATGAGACCGCAGGCATGTGATGTTCCAATGGCAAAGTGTCTCTTCCATTACTTGGGGAACCAGAAGAACCTTTGAAAACTCTCTTTTTATATGATGCTAATGAGTCACGACGCTTTTTAAACAGGATCCGGAAATATAACTCATGCTTTAAAATGACGTCCTTCAGAGTTGACCGGGAAATAATAATGCCGGGATTTTCGCCTGCATTTACGGCGCAAGGGCAAATTTATCATAGAATAGGTTCACTTTTTCCAGCTGAAAACGAACAGCATAAATTTTTACAAGTATATTTTATGGGTGACGAAGAAATTGAGGTAGACCGTCGCTGCCAATTTATCCAGGGAGTTGAGAGAGACACAGCGTTCAAAATTCAAAGATTCTTGCATGAACGTAACATTTTAGTCAAAACATTTAAAACTGCTTTAGAAAACCTACCTGAAGAGTATTATAAAGACGTCATTCACGCAGATCGGACCCCTCGAGGAGAGCATGAAAGGCGCTACAATGCACCTTTGATAAACGAAATAGCAGCCGTAATTAGTGGTGATCAATTTTCTTAACGAGACATTGTCTTGCGAGCATGTGATGATACGTTGCAACGGGTAGCCGATACACACAAGTTTTATGACGCTCTGCAATACCCATTGATTTATTGCAAAGGATAAGAGGGTTATCATTTTCAAATTCCACTCATTAACTCGGTCACAAAGAAGCCTACTCCGAACAAAAAAGTATCATGTATGGATTTTTATGAGTATCATATGATGTTGCGAGAAAATGATTTTAACCTCTTAGCCCGGTGTAGACAATTATTTCATCAATTTTTGGTAGACATGTAGGCACATAGAAGGTAGAAAGTGAATGTCTCCGTTATATATCTTTAAATCAAAAAAAGCTGCGCGTTGAGAATTATATACATTTACAAGATGCAGTTTCTAGCGATGCCAATGTAAACCCCAGAGATTTAGGTAAAATGGTAATTCTGCCCTCATCATTCATTGACAGTCCTCGCTACCTACATAAGTACACACAAGACGCATTCGCCTATGTACAAACTTACGGAAGACCTGATCTTTTTGTTACTTTTACTTGCAATCCCACATGGAAAGAAATAACCGAGGAGCTAATGCCGGGCCAAAAAAGTACTGACAGACACGATTTAGTTGCTAGAGTGTTTAGATTAAAGGATAAAAATTAATGTCTGGCACAGGCTGATTCAAGCTTAAAAGGAGAAGGTAATATATTAGTACTTAAATGTTAGCAATAAAATTTTTTTTGATGTAATTAACAAAGGGAAAAATTTTCGGAGAGGTGCAGTGCTTCATGTATTCAATTGAATGGCAAAAATATTTGTCAGTTATGGACACAGAACAGAGCACTTCATATCCCGTAGAGTTTCTAAATTCTCTAAAGTTGTCAGGTGTGCCCTCACATAAGCTTCAATTAAAATTAGGAGTCCCAGTCATGCTAATGCGAAATTTAGATGCTCCTTGGTTATGTAACAGGACAAGGCTGCGTGTGACACATCTTGGACGGAACATAATCGGTGCTACAATTTTGACAGGCGTAGGAAAAGGTGAAAATGTTATTATACCACGGATCCCTATAATTGCCACAGATCTTCCTTTTCAATTCAAAAGGTTGCAGTTCCCTATTAAGCTCAGTTTTGCAATGACAATTAATAAAGCGCAAGGGCAAACATTACAGGTAGCGGGGGTCAACTTAGAAAAACCGTGCTTCTCTCATGGTCAGCTGTATGTAACATGTTCGCGTGTGTCAAATGCCCAGAATCTCCACATTCTTTCCCCGAATGGAAAAACATATAACATTGTGTACAGTAGCGTCTTAAAATAGTGTTCAGTTAGTTTTTTTTCCAAAATTCCCACAATCAATTAATCAGAATTCCCACAGATCTTCCCTTTCAATTCAATATTTCCTATTTAGCTCAGTTTCTTTTCAATTCCAAATGCTGCACTGCTGACGGACCTATTAAGCTCCGTTTTCCTTTCAACTCAAAAGGCTGCATCTCTGACGAATCTTTTATTTGGCTCAGTTTCCTTTCAATTTAGAAAACTGCATCTCTGACAAATTAATTTAGCTCAGTTTCTTTTCAAAAGTCTGCATCCCTGACGGATAATTATGCTCAGTTTCCTGTAATTAAAAAAATATCCCATTTCCATTTGGAATAAACAGGCTATTTTCATGCTTTCCTATATGCTGCGTTTCAAAACATATAAATAGTTTTTTGCTCAGTTTGCTTTTAATGGCTGCTCTGACAAATCTATAAAACTCAGTTTTCTTTCAATTCAAAAAGCAATGGATAGTTCATTTCCCAGTGACCATGCGGGCAAAGCCGCGGGTAACATCTAGTGAATAAATGTTTTTAATATTATTATCCCCTCGTCTGCCGGCTGGCCATTTTGCAAATATGTCGCGTCTGCTAGGGCCTTAGCAGGTAATTTCGCGATATCGCCTCGTGGCGATTAAATTAGTAATTTCTCTAAAATATTGTATGGAAGCTATGTATAAAACTTATGTCATATGAATTGTTATATTATTTGCACCCACCTACTGCACTTAAAACTTATATTGCAATTATATATTTTATTTTTGAATGACTGAATGAAATAACCCATAATAACTTATATATAGAGACTACTTTTCTACGAAGAAATTTAACATTATAAAATCTATACAAAATTCTGTATCTTGTGGTATAAACAAAAGTCAGGTTTTACTTCATTACAAAAACATTTTATTGTATATCGATAACAAAAAACACATACCAAGCGAATGTAAGCATCGTGAAAATCACAATTAATTCAATATATATTACTCGAAATTATTTACATAAAAAGATAAATTATATTCACACAAAAACTTTAATTACAATTTTATAATAAAACACTAATAAATTTCATGCAAAAATGGTGTATGAAATAAACGATTATAAATAAATATTCATAGGATAACAGCTTTTTTATTGCACTAGAGGATAGAGTATTTCATATTGATTATATAATGCCAAACTTCTTCATAGAAAAGTAGTCTCTACATAAAAGTTTTTATGGGTTAAATTGCTGTGGGTGGGTGCGACCTCATGAGACCGTTTCGTAGAGTATTTCATATTGATTATATAATGCCGAACTTCTTCATAGAAAAGTAGTCTCTATATATAAGTTTTTATGGGTTAAAGTGCTGTGGGTGGGTGCGACCTCATGAGACCGCTAGGGATTTGACGGAATATGGTCGCGGTCTCATGAGAACACTAGGGGGTTGAGAGGTTAATATATTAGATTACTGAAAACATGTTACAAAGTTTAATGTTACAGAAGATGCTGATTCCACTGTAAAATTGTTATCGCTGGTCAAACCAAGGTCAGTCAACAGACTTGTTTTGACCATACTATAAATAAACTGTTGCATTTAGAATAAGATTCATTACAGTCTTCATCGAAGTAATGTAAACAACTAGTTAAGGAAGTCGGTATTGTAGAGAATTAGTTTTAATTCATTATTGCAACGAAATAGTAATAAATGACATTGAGACACATTTGTAGTTTTTAAAAAGCTTCAGCACCGCTCCCGAAACTTAACTAGATAAACCAGTAGTTAAAATAAAGAAGATAAAACATAAGAAAAATTTTAATATAAATGTAAAAAATAAGCTTGTTGATGTTGTACAATTCCTGTAGAATTTATATATATATATATATATATATATATATATATATATATATATATATATATATATATATATATATATAAAGATTCTACGATAAGTTCAGCAAATATGAGAAAACTTTAAATATGAAATAAAGCAATAACTTATTAATAAGTCTTACCATTGTTTCCAAAATCATATTAGCACTACTTAAATCACCTTGTTCAAAAAATTACTTAAGATTTTGCACAACTGCAATACGGAAAATCGTCCTTAAATCATTTAAAATTATTTATGAGCAGTCCACTAAGTATGTACAGCTAGAAAAGTTAAAATAATTTCATGAACTATTTCATATCTTGCTCTATTCTCACTATTTTTACTAATAATTTGAATGTAAATTTCACCGCCTTCAGAAGTAAGAGAGCGAGTACGAGTATGACTGACAACTGACAAACGACAGCTGCCAATGTTGCTGTTGTTGTTTTTATTATTCGCTCGAGAGAGCAGGCAAAAGAACTATGCCATACAGCCTTGTCTTTTTTTTAATTTGAATATATAGAATTTTGAAGTGTAAAGGCCGGAACCAAGTCTTATTTTTTTTTCATTCCATCTCTTCAAAATCCATAAAGGTCGAAGCCAATTCTTATTTTCTTTAATTCTTCATATTTTCGAAAACCACAAAGGCTACAGCCAAGTCTTCTTTATATTATAAACTTTATAAGTTTCAATCCATATAGATTTATCAGTCCAGTTTCAAGGTTCCCGCGCTTTTTTTTTCTTTTCTTCACAATATGCTGATGCGTCACATTGCGAAGCCCTTGGGAGATTTTGACGACAGCAAAACCCAGCGGATGTTTGATGACGACAGCCACTCAAGTTCATAAGGCACCTAAGCGATCAAAATAACTTGAGGTTTATATCAACATAAAAGCACTTGTTTCGTCGTTTTCTCTAATAGTTCACACGCGCAGAAAATTAATTCACAAAATCACATCACTTTTACGAATTAAAATCCACTTCAAACCATTATTCAAGCGACAAAACAGGAGCGACAGTCCGTCGTCGGCCAAGTTCCCGCCAAAACTCCCAGCTGCCAATCCCATTGACAAAGATATTGACAGCTGCACAGACAAGTATATATAGCCTATATAGCCTTTTTTAAGGAAAAAAGTACTAAATTGCTCATAGAATACTATAATACACAATAGAATGGCTGTCAACTTTATTTTGTACGAGGCTTGGCGTCACCAAACCTGATTCGTTGTGTTGATGGACTGAATAAATTTACACATTTTAGACTTTTGATATTTACATTAAGTATCACATGACCTACTTAGCAATTTAATTACGTAACATTAAATAAAAATAATAATTAAAATTATAGTATTTACAATTAATACTAATTACACACAATACCAAATATAGTATAGAAACAGAAACAGAAACTTTTTTATTCAATGTAGATTATAACAATATTTATTGAAAGTCACTTTTTTATTTACTACTGGTTCGCAAAAAAACCTTTGTCCTGGGAAGAACCAGCAAGAAACCCATATATATTCATTATAGAAAATCTAACACTAAAAATTTAAATATTCAAAAAGTCCTGCTCCCCGTGGTATAGTGCCAAGAACGCTGGCTGCGTTTCCTCGCTGAATAGGTATACTTAGCCTTTGAGCGAGGAAAGAACCAGTCCTATTATCACCGGCAGCGACGACCAGCCATGGATACAGTTCCTTTAGGAACATCACTGCACGTGGACCCCACGGACCGATAGTCTCTACAGCAAATGGTACAAATATGTAGTCATTTCTAAAAGACTCATATCTGCGCCATTTACTAAATTCGGCTGCCTCTGATGCCACCCCGGCTCTAAAAGAGGTTCCCTTAAGATGACAGGCCGCCAAAGTATCGACACAAGTAGCATCTCACACTAGGGCTTTACCTCTCTCTCGAGGGGCCAAAGTCATACCGTCGGATCTCCTGCCATCGTCTCTAAATATCCCGCAAGGCTCTAAAACCGAGGGGATACTTATGGAGACAAGAGCCGTTCAGATGACTTCGTTCAAAGAACCGTGACGGGAAAACCTACCTGCACTTTTCTTGCATGAAAGTCCGTGGAGCCCAAACTCATCGACGCTGCTACCACAGGGGCACTTGTGAGATTGACAAATTGCCGCTCCAAGCCCGATTCCTACGGCGATGCGCAAGCTCTCCACATCAAGCAATGTGCCGAGATTACTTGATAGTACAGCGTGTAACCATTGACTAGATTCCTTAGTCGAAATAGCTAGAAGGTGAGACTGATCTTGGTCACTGTGGAAACTGTGAAACAAACATTTCTGCACACTCTGTACCAACGGAATATCCCACTGTTTTTGTTGGTTAACTTCCAGTGGGACATTTTCGCCGGGAAAGAGCGTTAGCCATGTTTGCCTTGCCTCTGCAGCCAAAACACAGGTCTACTTTATTATTTAAAATTGTGTTTTTGCATATGCAAATTACATAAATCATTGACATGTACGGAAGCGAGGAAAGCAGGCAATGCGACGCTAGAAATGTTTCTTATTCCAATACCACCAAATTTGATAGGTGAAGTGGCTTGATTCCAGGCTATTGTATTTAATCTTAAATTTAGAATTTTTTCCTAAGCAATTTTAAGATTTACGATCAATATCTTTTAAAATATCCGAACATTTCCAGACTGGGCTTGAGCGTAATAAGTATGTAAATTTAGGTAAAAGGAGACAATATTTTAAAATAGTAAGGACAATATGGGGGTTTAAGATATATAATCTATCAACGTGATTTAAAAATTGATCAAATTTTGTTTTTAAAACAGGTTTAATACTATCGAAAAACAACGGAGCACCGAGCAGGTATAGCGATTCCGTATTGACAGTTTTTATTCCTGGAGAAATCTGACTGAAATTTTGAATTAAGGTATCTCTGTTAGAATTAGATAAATTATTGGAAATAAATATTTCATAATGATTTCTTATATTTACGCGAACACTACACATGATTAAAACTACTTTTACGGATTTTATCGCGTTTATTTATAAATAAACGCGATAAAATCCGTAAAAGTAGTTTTAATCATAAATATTTCACATTTATTGGTATTTGGTTCAAGACCAATATTTTTAAAATTTTGAAAAATATGATTAAGATCACCGAGTAGGTCATCTGCTTTACCTTCCAGTGTACCGTCGTCCAGATACCATACACTCAGCTTGAATTTTAAATTTGAAACAATAGGTTGAATTCCCAAACTGAAAAGAGCTGGACCTAATGGATCACCCTGGTGAACACCGACAGCAGACTCAATAATATGGTTTTGATAAAACAAGTTCGAATTTTGACTGTAACATTGCCAAACGTAAGGTTTGAGATTATGTGCCTGCAAGCTAATTTTGAAGTTAAGCGTCGAAATTTGGAACCAACAGCAATAGGACTTCTTGCCCCATATAAGTAAGGAACGAAATTGGGATTGACATTACCAGAAAGCATAAAGTTACATAATTTTGTAATGTCATTAAGAAGTACTCTACCGGCGTCACCGGCAGACATGCTATATTGACAATATTGCGTCTAAAGTGTCTTTTTCAGAAATTCGTAAAGGTTGCATAGAGGTATTAGGAGGCAGCGGTAAATTCTGAGTTGTTTCTGACGAAGGCCTTCAAGAGTTTCGACATTACGAGAAACGAGGATGTCGTCTGAGAATAGAATACGGGCTGCATTTCTTAGGTCGCCATCCATTACTTTCGATTCAACTATTTTTTTAAGTCAAAATTAAGACAAGGTCGAGATAAATATAATATCTTTTAGTTGAGACTTAATTGATTTATTTACTGTTTTATTAAAATGAAAATGAGAATACGCGAATGTAAATAATGTTTGCCAACTCTTTTGACAATTCGTAAGAAAATTTTGAATAGTGCATGATAATGCTTTAGCAAGTTGCATCCTCGCACCTGTAGGAATTCTTTTAACCACTGGTACGTTACTATAAAAATTGTACAAATGTTCCAAAAAAAGTGGAAAATTTGTGTCATTAGGGATATTATTAGAAGAGTCAGAAAATTCTACGGTAGGCTGTGAAGCCGAAATACTTTTACTATAATCGTTTAATGAGTATATTTAATCCCTTTTTACCTTTAAACAGCTTACCGTCGGTACAGTTTTGATACCGTAGAAAATCGGGCTGTGAATGTATCGGAGCGCTAGTATTCATTTAAAAAGTAAAAAAAAGTAAAAATGTAAAATATATCTACAGCATTCAAAAGTCTATAATTTAGTATAAATTAAAATCTTGAGAATAAAAAATAAAATAGCCTAGATCTCGAGCTTTTTTATGGTCTTGAAGCAATCTAATATTAATATTGTGTACGATGAATCACCGGGCGTATCTTGAAGTGACCTATAACTATAACCGCTTACAGTTGACGGTTTCAAAGTTTCTTTTGGTGACAAACTCAGATATAAAACGCTCAAGCATCCTATAAAAACTCGGCATTAGTTGTTTTCTTGGGATCAGAAGAAGTGTAGTGAACATTGATTTCGTTGACGTTGTTCTATTTTCAAATTTAATATTCTGCAGTATTTGTAAACACAACCAAGATTTAAAGTTTCGAAGTCAGAGTAATAGTATTCATAATTAATTCATAATCTATACAAAAATAATGTATGCCAGCAATACCCTTTATAGTTTCTCCCTGGCCTTATTGTTGCAAAATGCAATATGTTCTTGATATTCGGCCATAAACAATATATCGTTATTTTGTGTCATCACTTCACGTCGGCCTAATTCGTTAACCTGCTAAGTCCATTTTTGGCAAAATTTGCTTTTTATACCAGTCAAAAAGTTCAGTCTAATATCTTTCGTAACGTTTAGAGAATAGCAGCGATATTAGCCTAAAAAGGTGACAAATGCTATGCCCGAAAAACTGCTTTCTGACCAACAGCCAATCTCCACAACGCAAACCTGCTAAATCCTATTGGGGCCTCAGTTTTACAATCAAAACGTTCCCAAACCCACTTGCTGCTTGCGACGCGTCAAGTTTTGTCGTGTTTTAGTCTTATATTTGAGGATTTATACAATTAGTTATAAACTAGGTAAGTTTATATTGTTTTATCTCTAAGTTTTTATTTTTTTAGTGACCAAATCAAATGTTTTTCATCACATTTAAGTCCCAACCTAAACATAAGGGACTTAGCAGGTTTACGAACTATATTATTTTATTAGTACACGGATTTAGCAGTTTATCAATTTAATATTTTTTTATTAACTTATTGCTTAATTAAAGATAATTTCGAAGATGTTACTCATTAAATAAATTATAAAACAAAGTATGTATACACAAATAAACTGTTAAGTTAAAGTCTGTATAAATAATAAATTTCACATATTTTGTCATAATTTTATTCTTCTTCTTATTCAATTTTATTTGATTAAATAATGGTTTTTTCGATATTTTCAGAATTAATCGGGGGAAAAAAATTGTGGCTTTGGTTTCTGAGGCTTGTAACTCACAGGATAGACCTGAAAAAGTAGCTCCGAAGTTAGATTATGATCCAAATAAAGTAGTACACGTTTTGGAAGATATTCAGTTACAATATTCAAAATCAAGAAAGTCTATACCAGAACCTTCAATTTCAGTTGCTGACAAAACTTATTATGAGATAAATGACAATATCAATATAACATCACTGACTGATCTAGATCTACCAAATACTTTTATTACAGAAAATATAAATCATACAATTTGTTCTTGACATTACATTTCCCAATACTACATTCAATGACGTTCCTTTAGACGACAAATTGTTGTCCACGGTTTATGATATTCACAACACTTTCAGGACAGACGAGAATTTGATTATAATACCATCACAAATTGAAATAGAATCACAATCAACAAATATTTTGATCTCAGACAACATACACAATTCCGATGCGGATACCATTCAAACATTAGGTAATATAATATCTCATGAAACAAGTACTAGTTCTTTAGAAATTATAACTCATGTTGAAAATACACATCATGTTATACCTAATCCACCAATATCGGATGATAGCGATACAGAGAAAAAGATTGTGCCTTATTCTGATTCTGACTCAGATTCGCTTGCTAAGATCAAAAAGATTAAGAAACGAAAGAAACGTTTTAACGTTGATAAAAAAGAACGGGTTAGCGAAAAGAATAAACAAAGAAGACAAGAAGGTAAAACATATTTTGGGAGAGAGAAAAAGCAAGACTGTTGGAATTATAATAAAACTAAAGAAGCACGTTCCATTAAATCAAGATGCTCCTGTAAAATTGGGAAGTACAGTACTTTAAAATGTGAAACAGTAGATGAAGATGTAAGAAGGAGCATTTTTAATCGATTTTGGAATCTTACATGGGGCGAAAAAAAATGGGTTACAACTATTCCAATTGTCCGGCCACGAAATCGAAATACCGAAGGGACAACCAAGAGGGCTAACACCTTTGTTTATCATTTAAAAGTAAATGATAAAAGTGTCAAAGTATGTCGAAAGATGTTTTTGAACACATTGGACTTAGGAAGATGGACGGTTCAAAATTGGAAGCAGGAGTTTTCAATGCGCCCTCCAAGTACATTGAGACGTCCAACACAATTATCTGAATTGACTTCGAAGCCGAAACAATCACTTATTCAGTTTCTGGAGTATCTTCCCGTAATGGAATCTCATTATTGTCGATCAACGTCACAGAAGTTATATTTATTGCCAGAATGGAATTCCAAAGAAAGTTCTACCAATTTTACGTTAACGATTGGTGTAAAGAACGAAATATTAAAGCTCTCTCCATAAGTTTGTTTTCGAATTTATTTGAAGACAAAAATTTAGCCCTATTTAAGCCGAAAAAAGATCAATGCGAAAAATGCGCCTGTTATAAAGTAGGAACAGCTACAGAAGAAGAATACAACGAACATATTGAGAGAAGTAAACAAGCAAGAGAAGAAAAATATGCGGATAAAAAGGGAGAAAATTACGTTTTCACAGTGGACTTACAGGCTGTACTAATGGCACCAAAATCGAATGTCAGTACGCTATACTATAAAACGAAGCTGCAAGTTCACAACCTTTGCTTTTTTAATATAAAAAATAAAGATGGCTTCTGTTTCATATGGAATGAAGTAGAAGGTGGACTTAATGCTGAAGAATTTGCCTCCATTTGGGTTGACTTTATAGAAAACAAAATAATACGTCCTGGTTAATGCTGAAGATGGGAAAAAAACAATTATAATTTATAGTGACGGTTGCACATACCAAAATAGAAATTGTATTTTATCTAACGCTCTTTTGAACATTGTCATGATGCACAAAAATTTAGCTATCGAACAAAAATTTTTAGAAGGTGGGTCACACCCAAATGGAGGCCGATTCAATGCATTCCACTATAGAACGTCAGCTTAAGAACAAGGTCATAAATGTGCCAGCTGAATACATATCTATTGCTAAGCATGCTCGTAAATGCCCAGTACCATATTATGTAACATATTTGGACCACACTTACTTCAAAAACTTCGACAAAATTCAGTTTTATAAAAGTATTCGCCCAGGAAGATCTAAAGGGGATCCTAAGGTCACTGACATTCGTGCACTACGTTACGAAAGCAATGGATCAATTCTTTATAAAACTTGCTATAAAGATGAATGGCAAAGTTTACCACAAAGACGATCTTTGCAATGTAATCCTTGCGAGATTACTCAACTATCTCAATTGTATCAGAACCGACGTAAAATCACTGCACGAATATTTGAAGACTTGCAGCAAATAAAAAAGACCCTTCCCTCTGACTATCATAAATATTATGATGACTTGCCTCATGAATAAAATAAGAAGTACTAATAATTAGATTTTAAGTAAAATTACAACTTTACTTTACTTTACTTATTGTTAATTTAAAATTTTTGGAAAATTGTTTCTATTTTATCTTAGTATTAATAATAATTGATTGTGATACCTGTAGTAGTAACACAGTGTAGTGTCACAGCAAATTTAAAAGATCACACGATAATTTAACATTGCACATGGCACTTTACCCACTGACCTCTATACAACATGTAACAAAAACCCTGTGGTTCCCGTTAAGTGCATATCAGAATCAGTATCCAAGCGTATAGAAATAATTAAAAAAACACATTTAAAAAAATTAATTTTAATGAAAAAAATTAACTTGCAAATTGTATGTGGTTTTATTATCACTGCATTGGCCGAGGAGTAAGAAAATTGTCAAAGACCCCTTATTGCCGATACTCGTGTGAGTTAGAGGTAATAAAACCACATAAAATTTGCAAATTAATTTTTTTTTTCATTAAAATTAATTTTTTTAATGTGTTTTTTCGAAAACAATATAACGCAGTTAACGGGAACCATAGGGTTTTTATTATATGTTGTATATACAAGTGCGCTGTATATATAGAGGTCAGTGACTTTACTATATACGGAACATTATCCACAAGAGCCATCCCATTTTCCTATAAATCCTCACTCTCCCAACATTGTTGATACTTCTTTTTAATGTGTTTCCTCTTTTTTTGTCTTTGCAGTAAAGTAGTGCCTTAACAGTCACATTCACTCATATTATCGATTATTAATTACAATAAAACATATAATATGGAATTATTGCACTCACAACTGTAATATATTTTGATTTTAAGTATGCCATATTTTATGGAAAAAATCGTGTATAGTTGTACAATACGGCAATTCCATATCAATAACGACTTTCGGATAGACTAATATATTCTACTGACAGCACAGAATATCAGAACACTGCTTAGCATCGCGAATCGGCCTTAACCCAGTATCTGCCAGTAATTTTTATTAATTTATGCTTAGAGTTTTTATAAACAAGCTATAGAGCACGTGTTGGCGTAAAAACGTTTAAATATTTTTATAATTTTTATTTTCTGAAAAGCAGTTAATTGGCAAACAAATGGGTGGTAGCAATAAAAAGGCCCAAATGAAAGTCCAGTATCATTAATTTCGTTTATTTCATCCATTTAGTGCTTCGTACATTATAGAAAAAAAGGGGTGGACTGCTCAAGCTGGTTGGAGATGAAATACCAGAGCTTAAATTTGAAGATTACACTTATTTAAAAGCGATTAAAACACTAACTAAATTCGACAGTTATGTATGAAGGTACCTACGTAATTATGTGTATGTTCACGATTTTCTCAAATCTAATAGATGTTATTTAAATATACATTGATATTAAAATTAAATATCTGTACGTAAAACTGCGAACAAGCAAACAAAAAAACAAGTATGTCATGATTAAAACTACTTTTTACGGATTTTATCGCGTTTATTTTTACTTTTTATTTTCTTTTATTTTTAATTCCGGGACGTTGGGGTTCCCGTGACCATGGGTGCTGGAAAGCCCCGAAACGTCGGGTAATTACGACAAATTAATAGGATTAAGAAAATAAAAAGTAAAAATAAACGCGATAAAATCCGTAAAAGTAGTTTTAATCATGACATACTTGTTTTTTTGTTTGCTTGTTCGCAGTTTTACGTACAGATATTTAATTTTAATATCAATGTATATTTAAATAACATCTATTAGATTTGAGAAAATCGTGAACATACACATAATTACGTAGGTACCTTCATACATAACTGTCGAATTTAGTTAGTGTTTTAATCGCTTTTAAATAAGTGTAATCTTCAAATTTAAGCTCTGGTATTTCATCTCCAACCAGCTTGAGCAGTCCACCCTTTTTTTTCTATAATGTACGAAGCACTAAATGGATGAAATAAACGAAATTAATGATACTGGACTTTCATTTGGGCCTTTTTATTGCTACCACCCATTTGTTTGCCAATTAACTGCTTTTCAGAAAATAAAAATTATAAAAATATTTAAACGTTTTTGACGCCAACACGTGCTCTATAGCTTGATTATAAAAACTCTAAGCATAAATTAATAAAAATTACTGGCAGATACTGGGTTAAGGCCGATTCGCGATGCTAAGCAGTGTTCTGATATTCTGTGCTGTCAGTAGAATATATTAGTTAGTCTATCCGAAAGTCGTTATTGATATGGAATTGCCGTATTGTACAACTATACACGATTTTTTCCAGAAAATATGGCATACTTAAAATCAAAATATATTACAGTTGTGAGTGCAATAATTCCATATTATATGTTTTATTGTAATTAATAATCGATAATATGAGTGAATGTGACTGTTAAGGCACTACTTTACTGCAAAGACAAAAAAAGAGGAAACACATTAAAAAGAAGTATCAACAATGGTGGGAGAGTGAGGATTTATAGGAAAATGGGATGGCTCTTGTGGATAATGTTCCGTATATAGTAAAGTCACTGACCTCTATATATACAGCGCACTTGTATATACAACATATAATAAAAACCCTATGGTTCCCGTTAACTGCTTTATATTGTTTTCGAAAAAACACATTAAAAAAAATTAATTTTAATGAAAAAAAAATTAATTTGCTTTATTACCTCTAACTCACACGAGTATCGGCAATAAGGGGTCTTTGACAATTTTCTTACTCCTCGGCCAATGCAGTGATAATAAAACCACATACAATTTGCAAGTTAATTTTTTTCATATTGTTTTGCATTTGTTTATAGTGTTCGCGTAAATATAAGAAATCATTAAGTATGTCATGAGTTAACTCTTTTTAAGAGGTAGTAAATTAATAAGAATTTTGTGTTTGATTTATAAACATTGTTTTATAAATTCGTACATGTGTTTTATCGAACTGCTAAAACCTACCTTATAATTACACATAGGCGTCAATCTTGTTTTTGCTATATATAGTATAAACTAGGCATGAGAACGATATATCAAAAGGTAACTATAATAACGTTATGTTATCAAAATATATCTTATCGATAAACCTATCTCTTTTGGCTGCACCAAAAGTATCGGAATGGAATATTTCCACTGTTCCTGTCATATTAAAATCTTTTTAATTGAAAACTCCTTGGTTTTAAAAATCGCATACCATTTATTTATTTAAAAAAAGATTCTCGGTCTTGTCACAAGGCTTTGTCAAACTTGTTTAGTCGTTGAGAAAATGGAATTGACTCGAGAAAATTCAAGAGCGATGATTTATTATGACTTTCGAAGTGGTTTAACACAAAAACAGTGTGTTGACCGGATGATTTCTGCATTTGCTGAATGAAGCCCCATCCAAAACCACAAATTATCGCTGGTTTGCTGAATTTCAACGTGGACATGTCAAGCTCAGTGATGATCCCCGTCAAGGTCGTCCAAAAACTGCAGTCACCCAAGAAAACGTTGATGCTGTGCGTAAGCTGATTGAAGAAGATCGACATGTGACATACCACGAAATTCAGGCAACTTTAGACATTGGCATGAGTCAAATACAAATAATCCTTCATGAACAATTAGGTGTAAAAAAGTTGTTTTCCCGATGGATACCGCATTCGCTCTGTGAAGAGCAAAAAGCGGCTCGCGTTACTTGGTGCGTCAGAACTCTCGAAAGATTCCACAGGATCCTCAAACGCTGTATACAACATCGTATCAGGTGACGAATCCTGGATATACGCGTACGAACCCGAAACAAAAAACCAGTCACGAGTTTGGGTGTTCGAAAATGAGTTAAAGCCAACAAAAATTGTTCGTTCACGGAGTGAATAAAACTATTATTTACGGATTTTATCGCGTTTAATTTTTTATTTAAATTAAACGCGATAAAAACCGTAAATAATAGTTTTATTCAATGTGTAGTGTTCGCGTAAATTTAAGAAATCATTACGTTCACGGAGTGTTGCAAAAAACATGGTGGCCACGTTTGTCTCCAAAACCGGCCATGTTACGACTATTCCTCTTGAGGGACAAAGAACGGTTAATGCAGAATGGTATGCTAGCATTTGTTTGCCACAGGTCGTTTCCGAACTCCGTAAAGAGAACTGCAACCGCCGCATCATCCTCCATCACGACAATGCGAGTTCTCACACAGCACACAGAACAAAAGAGTTTTTAGAGCAAGAAAACATAGAATTATTAGACCATCCGCCGTACAGCCCCGACCTAAGCCCTACTGATTTCTATACTTTCCCTAAAATAAGGAATAAATTGCGTGGACAGAGATTTTCATCACCTGAAGAAGCTGTGGATGCCTACAATACGGCCATTTTGGAGACCCCAACTTCCGAATGGAATTGTTGCTTCAATGATTGGTTCCATCGTATGGAAAAATGTGTCAAGTTTCGCGGAGTATACTTCGAAAAGCAATAAATACATTTTTAAATAGTAATGTGTCACTTCCTTGATTCCCGAAATTTTCAGTGCCGCCCTCGTATGCAACCAGAACTAAGTAACCAAAACGTACGAAAGTTACGAAACGTAAAACGCAAACTGGAACGATAACGATATGCCAACACGGCCCACGAAATTATCCGATGTCCTTCGTTGATATTCGTTGTTTCTCGTTCTTACGATGGTATCATATATACGTATAGAAAGCTATTTTTTTATAGGATAGGGTGACAAATGAGCACACAGTCCACCTGATGGTAAGTGGTTGCTGCGGCCCATAGACATCTACATCTATCCTCGATTACAAATCAAAATGCAGATGCGTTGTCACCCGTAAGTACTAGGATGGAATGCTTCGTTTCCAGTAAAAAGGGTCTCCGGTTCTATTTCACGCTGGTATTCTGTGAGAGCTTGGTCCTTCCCCGGTCGAGCCGACCCTTTCGTGCTACAACTATACTACTAGTATAACTGCAGCATGGCTCTACCACGTATAAAAAGATATTAAGCGAATATGGATTTCGTTGCGATGTTTTGGTAGTTTTCACGCACGGTACACAATGCACATA